AGCAGCAAGGGGCTGCTAGGGAGTAGCTGTGTGCGAGAGCCATTTTTGAGGGAGTCTGCAGGAGACAGACGTAAGCCTGAAGAGAGGCCAGAGGAAGATTGTTTATATCTGAGAGAGCCAGGAGGCTGAATCTTTTCGTTTATATTGATGATAGATACCCCTGCGTGAGAAACCTCTTTTGTTATGTGGAACTTTTCCTTTTAAATAAAAATGGGCTGAAACGGCCCTTAAAAAAAAACAAGTGAGTTGCTATGTGCGTTACACAAGCTCTACCATTCAAAGCGAGTTCCCACAATATATATATATATATATATACACACACACATATATATATATATGTATATATATATATATACATACTGCATGTTGAAATGCATTTTTTATATATTAAAAAATATATGAAAAATATTTAAAAAATATATATATATTTTAAATATATTCTTCTGATTTTTTTAACATATAAAAAACTCATTTTAACATATATTTTTACATATATTTGTAAATGCAAAAATGTAGATTAAATGTATTTTAAAAGACATACAGTATATTTGAAAATGTATTTTTAAAATATTTTTCATATATTTTGTTATAAAAACGTATTTCAACATTTATATATATATATATATATATATATATATATATTAATTATTGAGATATATTTTGAAATATATATTGACTATGGCCAAAATTGTAGTATTTCAAATATATGTCAATATATTTGGGAAGAATATTTTTAAAATATATACAAAATATATTTTTCTTTTATGTGGGGTCCGGCCATGGCAATGGACTGCCCATACTACCGTACTGTTGGACATATGCATAATGGTGTATGAGCTCTGTTCAGTGTTGCGGTACCGTGAGTTTGGTCTGTTGCAAAAGTCTGTTGCAATTATTATTATTATACAGTATTTATAAAGCGCCAATAGTTCGCTCAGCGCTGTACATTACAAAGGGGGACAGAACATGTGACAGAACAATACCAATACAATACAAAACATGAGGGGATCGAGGGCCCTGCTCTTTCGAGCTTACAATCTAGGAGATACCACCCCCCCCCCAGGGGGTGTATCCATGGCAGCCTTTGCTAAGAGGTAATGGGTTGAATGATGTGGCCTTATATCCAGGCCTGAAGGGGGCATCCGTAAATGGTGAAGGAGGGAACAGTCTGGTCCCAGGAACTAATCACAGCCTACATTTGGAGACAATCAGAGCCTGAGGTTTCCTGAGCATCCCATCATCACAACTTTTTCTACTTTTAAACTTTCAGCTACTGTTTCCTTTAACTGCTTAAAGCTATGTCCATCCAAACTACCCTGTCTACATGGTGACAACACTTCTGCCAGATTTTATTGCAGACCAATTAGGACTTGTCACCCTGTTGAAGGAAGTTGAAAAAATAAAGGATCTACTGCAGGAAAAACAGATGGTAATACAATATTACAAGTGGGACTCAGAAAAACAAAAATTGTAATGTTACTGCTGGTGACAGACTTCATCATACATTTCATTTTTCAAATTTAACCCAAACTTACCCTTCAACGTACCTGTAAATGGAAATGTGATACGGATGCTGATTTTTTTTTTATACAGGTCATGCAGAGATACCAGGCAGTGTGCAAATTGTTCGCTCATCCTCGAGGGATGCTATGGACATCACCTTCCAAAGTTTTAAGACTCCATCTGGACCCATAGTGGCTTATGCCATCATCATGACAACTGATTTACATGGTAAGAAAAGGCCAAAATGGTACCATTTTATAAGGCCACATACAGGAACAGGGGATGCCCAAAAAAATTTGATAAGGTATTGCAAGTCTAGTTGGATAACGGAGCAAATTTCAGAAACGTATTCGAACTAGTGACATAACTGTGAAATTGAGAATAATTTAAAATAATTATTCTTGATTTTTTGAAGGATAATTTTTTATGAGTTTAATGTGCTTTAACTGTAGTTGATATGTGATATTAGCCACACAGAGAGTGCATTGGATTCAATGAGATCAACTCATAGATCTGCCTAGAAGGATTGGTAAAGCACAACCGTCGTCATGCAGAGCAAAAAGCAGATTCAGGATATGTAATGAGATAACGTGGCTTCCTTTATGTATACCTATAATTACAAGTTCTGCCTAGAAACTTAAAACGTGTATCCTGAGAACAATATTTAAACAAAACAGAGTCTTTTCAAAGTTTTAGGCAATTTCTCTGGAAAATAAAAAATTAAAAGGAAAATAATGATTTAGTTCAAGAAAAAAAAGAAAAAGCCTAAGCTTTTTTTAGAAAACATATTGTCATTAGTCATTGCAGGCTGTCTTAATGGTCATTTTTTTGTAACTTGCAGGCAACACGCTAACTAAAGGGTCTTTATCAAAGACATATAATGATTTCAAGAATGGTCTGACCAGGACTTATGTGACTTCTGTCATTGAGCCGCAGAAAATCCAGAATGCTGACCAATTGAATCAGATAAACATCCATGTGGGAGATGGTAGTTCTTCAAGGGGATACGTCAATGGACCTTTGGACCCTGCAAAACACTACAGGTGATTTAGTTACTTCCAGATACATCCAACAGGACACACCTTGTATTTAAAATAAAGAATCACATTCTTTAGAAGATAGACTAAATTTCTGTTTAAAAGAATGTGGGGGATTTAAGAAATTCCAAATACAGATCTCTATTTAACCACTTGCCCTCCTGAGGATTTACCCCCCTTAATGACCAGGCCTCTTTTTGCTACTCGGCGCTGCACTAATTCAACTGATAATTGGTCATGCAATGCTGCACCCAAACAAAATTTACGTCCTTTTTTTCACACAAATAGAGCTTTCTTTTGGTGGTATTTGATCACCTGTGCGCTTTTTATTTTTCACGCTATAAACAAAAAAAGACCAAAAATTTTGAAGAAAAACGATATTTTTTACTTTCATCTATAAAAAATATATAGTAAACTCAAAGGTAGGTATAAATTTAGGCCAAAATGTATTCTGCTCCATGTTTTTGGTAAAAAAAATCCCAATAAGTGTATATTGATTGCTTTGTGTGGAAGTTATAGCGTCTACAAACTATGGTATAGATACTGCAATTTACGCCATTTTTTTGCTATACAGTGCTGCGCTAGTTTAACGGACAATTGCGCGGTCATGCAATATGGTACATAAATGAAATTTACATCCTTTTTTTCCCACAAATTGAGCTTTCTTTTGGTGGTATTTGATTGCCTGTGCATTTTTTATTTTTTGCGCTATAAAAAAAAAAGCTGACAATTTTGAGGAAAAAAAACAATATTTTGGACTTTTTGCTATAAAACATGTCCAGTAAAAAAAAATGTAAAAATCAAATTTAGTCATAAATTTCTGCCAAAATGCATTCTGCGACATGTCTTTGCTACAAAAAACCCAATACGTGTAAATTAATTGGTTTATGTGAAAGTTATCATGTTTACAAATGGCGGGAAAGATACTGGGATTTTACATTTTTATTTATACAAATAATGGCAGAGATCAGCTACTTATGGCGGCGATCAGTGACTTATGGCGGCGATCAGCGACTTATGGCGGGACTGCGGCGGACATTCTGACATTCGCACCTCGCGCGCCCCCTACCTGTTTTAAAAACACATGTTTTAAAACGTGGTTTTGCCCAGCCATGCCGCCCTGCAGTAGTATTTCTACAGTGGCTGGGCAGCATGTGGTTAATACTTACTAGTGATGGGCAAAATGGTCCGCGGTGAATCCTACACCCACAGTTGATCCAGAGGAAGGCAAAAAAACCCAGCAGCAAAGCACGATCCAATTTGCTCCTGCTGGGAAACAATTCCTTCCTGATCCCCCGAGAGGCAATCGGATATTCCCTGGATCAACTTTACCTATAAATGTTATATCCAGTTATATTCTGTGTATCCAAGAAAGGATCCGGGCCTTTTTTAACTGCTTCCTGACTGCCCTATAGCAGAAGTACTGCTACAGGGTGGCAGGAATGTGCAAAATCACGGATGTATTCGTGATTTTGTATTTCCAGGTAGTGGGAGCACGCGCTCCCTACCATGCCGCTATTGGCTCCTTGGCATGTCAATCACTGGGTCCCGCCCACCGATTCTCGTCCAGGACTCGGTTATTGTCAGCGGATTGTCTCCCCTGTCAGCAGGAACAGGCTGCTTTGTATTGCTCTGCACAGCATGTCTCCCTAGTAAAACATACACAGCACACAGAAAGAATAATTTCACTTCCTCTAATCTTTCCTCATAGCTGATCTCCTCCATGCCTTTTATCAGTTTGGTTGCCTTTCTCTGTACTTTCTCCAGTTCCCCAATGTTCTTTTTGTGAATTGGTGACAAAAATTTAACTGCATATTCCAGATGAGGTGTTACTAATGATTTGTACCCGGGGGGGGGGGGGGAATGATATCTCTCTCTCTGGAGTCTATACCTCTTTTAATACAAGAGAGGATTTTGCTTTCTTTAGAAACCGCAGCTTGCCATTGCATGCCATTATTAAGCTTGTGATCTACCTGAACCCACAGATCCTTCTCCACCATTGACCCCCCCAGTTGTACCCCCCTAGTATGTATGGTGCATGCATATTCTTAGCCCCCATGTGCAGAACCTTACATTTATCAACATTAAACCTCATTTGCCACATAGTTGCCCAATTAAACAGTGCATTGAGGTCGGCTTGTAAGTTGGAGACATCCTGTAATGACGTGATTCCCCGGCACAGCTTGGTGTCATCTGCAAAGACTGAAAAGGTATTTTTAATCTCACACTCTATATTGTTTATAAATGTAATAAAAAGTAAGGGCCGGTCCCAACACTGAACCTTGCTGTACCCCACTGATGACCCCAGACCATTCAGAGTATGAATCATTAACCACTACTCTCTGAATACCATCTTTTAGCCAGTTTTCTACCCATTTACATATGGATTTTTCCAAGCCTGTAGACTTTACCTTACACATTAGCCGTGTGTGGGGAACTGTGTCAAACGCGTTTGCAAAATCCAAGTATACCACGTCCACCACCACCCCTCTGTCCAAGTATACCACGTCCACCGGCATACCTCTGTCCCAGTATAACACGTCCACCGCCACCCCTCTGTCCAAGTATACCACGTACACCGCCACCCCTCTGTCCAATTATACCACGTCCACAGCCACCCCTCTGTCCAAGTATACCACATCCACCGCCACCCCTCTGTCCAAGTATACCACGTCCACCGCCATCCCTCTGTCCAAGTATACCATGTCTACTGCCATCCCTCTGTCCAAGTATACCATGTCCACCGCCACCCCTCTGTCCAAGTATACCACGTTCACTGCCACCCCTCTGTCCAAGTATACCATGTCCACCCCCCACCCCTCTGTCCAAGTATACCACGTCCACCACCACCCCTCTGTCCAAGTATACCACGTCCACCACCACCCCTCTGTCCAAGGTTTTGCTCACCTCCTCATAAAAAGAAATCAGATTTGTTTGACAACTTCTGTCTTTCATGAATCCATGCTGTCTGTTGCTTAAAATAATTTTTTCCAGCAAGAACTCATCTATGTGGTCTTTTAAACTCTCCAGTATCTTCCCAACTATAGAAGTTACACTAACAGGACTATAATTACTTGGTAAAGATTTTGACCCCTTTTTAAATATAGACACCTCATTGGCCTTACGCCAAGGTAAGCAATATGGCTAGGGTTGGCTTTGATCAACAACAAATCCATTGATTTCATTGTCAGCACTGGTAAGGTGATCACATGGCTTTCCCAAAAAAACAAGCCCATGTTTTTTGGTATTGCTCCAAGCAGTCTGCATGGTGAAACATAATGTTAATGTCGATGAAGTATCAGTGAACTTGATACATTTGCTGCAAAATCATTCCTCCCAAATAATATAATGCATGTTGATCTCGATCTCTTGACTTTCAGGGTCTACATAGTTGGATTTACTGCGATAAACTTTGATTCAGCCACAAACACTATCAACGAAGATCAGTCAACAGCATCTGTTACCAGTTTCTCTGGTTCTGCTTCAACTACTTCTACTTTTAGAACAGGTATATACATATTATAATGAATTTACAGTTAACATTTTGAATATTTTCTATTTATGCTATATGGCCTTTCGTTTATCACTTATATCCTAAAAAATATCTGCTGTCTCTCATCACCCAGTCTACCAGTTTCTACCCGTCATAACTCTTTTCCTGCTCCGGCTCCTTGTTTTAAAAGTACCCTAATTCCATCGATCTTCTGGCCAGTTGTCAGGTCCGGAGCGGGGGAATGGACAGGCAGGCCTTATGGTAAGGTCACGCACCGACTGACGACAGCCACCACCCACAGATCGGAGTCCCTCAGGGCGCGGAGTCTAAGCCCCTGATGGTGGGGATGGGGATGGACTTGATGCAGCCTGAGACCAGGTCGCGACCCCTGAGTAACCCCAGCTGCGGTAACGGCTGCCGCCAATGGCGTATAGCTAGTGCGAGCCAGATGGGAAGACGTATAGCGTGGTCGGACAGGCCGGGTCTATAACAGCAGAATAAACAGTACAAGACGATAGGCAAGAATACTCAGGTCACGGGCCTGGGTTCAGCAACGGGAGGTCAGGTAATGGGATAAGGCAGAGAAATGTCTTGTCAAAGCCGGGTCGGTTTCCAGTAGAGCAACGAGAGCTGAACAAGAGCTTGCGGCAATGAAACATACAGGACACGAATGCAAAGAGCAGCTGCAGACAGCAGGCTTAAATATGATCAGCCACACCCTACTGGAGGAGGAGCCGCAGAGGCCTGAAAGCATAAAGGCTCCCACCTTGCTTTGCAGAAACCTAAGATGGATGCCAGCACATGGAGCAGCAAGCTCTGAGGAAAGGTAGGAACTTGACAGCAGTCCAGTGATGGTTTGGATCCTTCCTTCTCCTATCTGGCCATGGAGATGGACTGTCCATACTGAAGTATTGATTGACTGATTGAGTAATGTGTGAGCTCTGTTCCATTTTGCCGCACCTTGAGCTTGGACTGTTGCAATGATGAACCCCCCCCCCCCCCCCAGGAGGGTGGACCCATGGCAGACTTGGAAAGGGGATGAATGATGTGGTCTTTCATCAAGGCCTGAAGTAGGTTTCAGAAAATGGTGAAGGATGACATAGTCTGTACCCAGGGACTAATTACATTTGGAGACAGGTGTCAGAGAAGTCATAGCCAACGGTTATCTGAGCATAAGCTACATGTCCATCCAAACTACCCTGTCTACATGGAGATGACACTTCCACCAAATTTCAATGCAGACCAATTTAGTCTTGTCACCCTTTTAAACTCTTCCCCTACTTCGGTTCCTTGTTTTAAAATAAAAGTACCCTAATTCCATCGATCTTCTGGCCAGTCCAGTGAAGGTTTGGATCCTTCCTTCTCCTATCTGTATCTGGCCATGGTGATGGACTATCCATACTGCAGTATTGATTAACTAATTAAGTAATGATGTGTGAGCTCTGTTCCATTTTGCAGTACCTTGAGCTTGGGCTGTTGCAATGCTGAATCCCCCCCCCAGGAGGGTGGACCCATGGCAGCCCTGTCTACCCTGACACTTCCACCAGATTACAATGCAGACCAATTTAGCCTTGTCACCCTTTTAAACTCTTTCCCTGCTCTGGCTCCTTGTTTTAAAATAAAAGTACCTTAATTCCATCGATCTTCTGGCCAGTTCAGTGATGGTTTGGATCCTTCCTTCTCCTATCTGTATCTGGCCATGGAGATGGACTATCCATACTGAAGTATTGATTGACTGAGTAATATGTGTGAGCTCTGTTCCATTTTGCCGCACCTTGAGCTTGGACTGTTGCAATGATGAACCCCCCCCCCCCCCCCCCCAGGAGGGTGGACCCATGGCAGACTTGGAAAGGGGATGAATGATGTGGTCTTTCATCAAGGCCTGAAGTGGGTTTCAGAAAATGGTGAAGGATGACATAGTCTGTACCCAGGGACTAATTACATTTGGAGACAGGTGTCAGAGAAGTCATAGCCAACGGTTATCTGAGCATCCCATCACCAGACCTATCTAAACTACAAAGTTTTTTCTACTTTTAAATTTTCAGCTACAATTTGTTTTACGTTGTTTAGCTGCTTAAAGCTACATGTCCATCCAAACTACCTGTCTACATGGAGATGACACTTCCACCAAATTTCAATGCAGACCAATTTAGTCTTGTCACCCTTTTAAACTTTCCCCTACTTCGGTTCCTTGTTTTAAAATAAAAGTACCCTAATTCCATCGATCTTCTGGCCAGTCCAGTGAAGGTTTGGATCCTTCCTTCTCCTATCTGTATCTGGCCATGGTGATGGACTATCCATACTGCAGTATTGATTAACTAATTAAGTAATGATGTGTGAGCTCTGTTCCATTTTGCAGTACCTTGAGCTTGGGCTGTTGCAATGCTGAATCCCCCCCCCCAGGAGGGTGGACCCATGGCAGCCCTGTCTACCCTGACACTTCCACCAGATTACAATGCAGACCAATTTAGCCTTGTCACCCTTTTAAACTCTTTCCCTGCTCTGGCTCCTTGTTTTAAAATAAAAGTACCTTAATTCCATCGATCTTCTGGCCAGTTCAGTGATGGTTTGGATCCTTCCTTCTCCTATCTGTATCTGGCCATGGTGATGGACTATCCATACTGCAGTATTGATTGACTGAGTAATGATGTGTGAGCTTTGTTCCATTTTGCCGCACCTTGAGCTTGGACTGTTACAATGATAACCCCTCCCCTTCCCAGGAGGGTAGACCCATGGCAGCCTTGGAAAGGGGATGAATGATGTGGTCTTTCATCAAGGCCTGAAGTGGGCTTCAGTAAATGGTGAAGGAGGACACAGTCTGTACCCAGGAACTAATTACACTTTGGAGACAGATGTCAGAGAAGTCAGAGCCAACGGTTATCTGAGCATCCCATCACCAGACCTATCTAAACTACAAAGTTTTTTCTACTTTTAAACTTTCAGCTACAATTTGTTTTACATTGTTTAGCTGCTTAAAGCTACATGTCCATCCAAACTACACTGTCTACACGGAGACAACACTTCCACCAAATTTCATTGCAGACCAATTTAGCCTTGTCACCCTTTTAAACTTTTCCCCTACATCGGTTCCTTGTTTTAAAATAAAAGTACCCTAATTCCATCAATCTTCTGGCCAGTCCAGTGAAGGTTTGGACCCTTCCTTCTCCTATCTGTATCTGGCCATGGTGATGGACTATCCATACTGCAGTATTGATTGACTGATTAAGTAATGATGTGTGAGCTCTGTTCCATTTTGCAGTACCTTGAGCTTGGGCTGTTGCAATGCTGAATCCCCCCCCCCCCAGGAGGGTGGACCCATGGCAGCCCTGTCTACCCTGACATTTCCACCAGATTACGATGCAGACCAATTTAGCCTTGTCACCCTTTTAAACTCTTTCCCTGCTCCGGCTCCTTGTTTTAAAATAAAAGTACCCTAATTCCATCGATCTTCTGGCCAGTTCAGTGATGGTTTGGATCCTTCCTTCTCCTATCTGTATCTGGCCATGGTGATGGACTATCCATACTGCAGTATTGATTGACTGAGTAATGATGTGTGAGCTCTGTTCCATTTTGCCGCACCTTGAGCTTGGACTGTTACAATGATAACCCCCCCCCCTTCCCAGGAGGGTAGACCCATGGCAGCCATGGAAAGGGGATGAATGATGTGGTCTTTCATCAAGGCCTGAAGTGGGCTTCAGTAAATGGTGAAGGAGGACACAGTCTGTACCCAGGAACTAATTACACTTTGGAGACAGATGTCAGAGAAGTCAGAGCCAACGGTTATCTGAGCATCCCATCACCAGACCTATCTAAACTACAAAGTTTTTTCTACTTTTAAACTTTCAGCTACAATTTGTTTTACATTGTTTAGCTGCTTAAAGCTACATGTCCATCCAAACTACACTGTCTACACGGAGACAACACTTCCACCAAATTTCATTGCAGACCAATTTAGCCTTGTCACCCTTTTAAACTTTTCCCCTACTTCGGTTCCTTGTTTTAAAATAAAAGTACCCTAATTCCATCGATCTTCTGGCCAGTCCAGTGAAGGTTTGGATCCTTCCTTCTCCTATCTGTATCTGGCCATGGTGATGGACTATCCATACTGCAGTATTGATTAACTGATTAAGTAATGATGTGTGAGCTCTGTTCCATTTTGCAGTACCTTGAGCTTGGGCTGTTGCAATGCTGAATCCCCCCCCCCCCCCCAGGAGGGTGAACCCATGGCAGCCCTGTCTACCCTGACACTTCCACCAGATTACGATGCAGACCAATTTAGCCTTGTCACCCTTTTAAACTCTTTCCCTGCTCCGGCTCCTTGTTTTAAAATAAAAGTACCCTAATTCCATCGATCTTCTGGCCAGTCCAGTGATGGTTTGGATC